GGACAATTTAGATCTCTTCTACAAGATTATTGTCCATATCTTCAGGGAATATGTTTGGACTCTCCTATAGGTTTGTTTAGTGCTGCTAGTGTTTAGTGTTTCTTGTTTAGTTTAAAGGTGATGAGGTTTGTTTGTTCTGTTGATTGGTTGGGTACTTAAAGGTGATGTGGGCATAACATTGTTGATTGTATTTTTGGTTATTTATCTCTTGAAAGAGATATCTAAAATTGAAAGTAGGGTTAGCTTTAATAATTAGAGCTAAAATTGATACCTAATGAATTACATTTAGTTCAAATGTTAATATTCTCATGGCCTTCATATTTATTATTAAGAACATTATTTTATTTATAAATGTTGTTATTCTCAAAATATTGTTAATTATCACTATAAAAATATTTAGTTTTAAAATGTTTGTTAATAACTTCTTCTGATTTCCCTATTAACTAAACTTTATTTTAAAATATTTATTATTCTCATGATATCCCTAATTACCGCCCTTAGACAGCTACCTCTCCGAGCTGACTAATTGAGCTTGATGTGATAGACATCTTATTGTCGTCTTTTTTCATGCAGTTCTCCGCATCAAACAGGCACCTGTTCGGAGGCGTAGCGACCCTTCCCGGCGCCCGGGGACAAACTCTCAATTTGCACACCCCCCCCCCCTCAAACTTTTGATTTGCACCTCCCCCCTCAATCTTTCGATTTACACCCCCCTCAAGCTTTCAATTTATTTTTTCAACCCATTTTGGCGCCCCCTAAGGTCGGCGCCCGGGGATATATGTCCCCCCCCCCGCCGCCCCCCCCCCCCTCGCTACGCCTCTGCACCTGTAGGTGTACGTCTGGCCGTCGCTGGCACACACATGCTCGTAGACAAACGGACACCTGGTCAGCTAACGGCACGGGTCGTCCTTGACCTTAGACCTGCAGGCTCCGAGGGGTTCGGGGAGCATCTGCTTGAAGAGGGGGAAGCGGCAGTTGGCAGCGGTGAAGTGGCAGATGTTGTCGTAGATCTTACCGTCACTGCCGGGGTCAAAGTTCACTGGACAAGAAGCCGGACATCCCATGCTTAGTTTGGCCGCTGAAAAAAAAAGCAGATTTAACTTCAGATTCCTAGTTATGCGTAAAAAAATAAACTGTATTTTTGAAATATATTTTCGGAATTATATATGGAAATATAAACTAAATTTAAATTCATTATTAAATATGCAAAAATAAACATATTTAAATATTTATATTTGTTAAGTTCAACAAAAATGATAATAATATACGTACTCATATTTATATTTGAAAAGGTAAACATTATTCTGATTAAAGTTAAGATGATCTATATATATCACGTATTCTATTGCTCAAGACTGATAATGCCGAGTCTGGCATGAAACACAACATCATATGAAGCACGTCAAAACTGTTCGTCTGTTAATGGTTAGAGACTGATATCCTACTAGATTAAAGTATTGTTTTTTGTATCAGTTGTTACGGCTACAAAATGCACAACCCCATCTACAGACTACTAGAGCCATATGGTTTCTCACTTCTCATAGACACAATTGTGATTGTAATATTTTTAGAAATTTTATGCAAGGAACTACATGTAGGCTATATAACAAATTATATAGATAAATATGTGTAATTAATGTTCATTGCTCATACCTTCACTCTGGAGCCGCAATAACATCGTCAGACAAACAAAAAATGTTGAAATACACATTTGTAGCAATGTTACTGTTTGATGTAAGAATAAAAAAAATGTTTGACAACATATCGCGAAAATAGTTTTAAAAATTAGAATAATACTTAAATGTAATAGTGTTTGTATAGTGCTTATATTTATGCGGCAAATAACGATGTACACACAATATAACCTACCTTTGTTTTGCTTGAGCAGATAACTTTATTTTACACGCTATATTAAGCTTTCAAATCCATTCCGCTCACGGCGTTAATATAATAATCTCATTCTTGTAACTGTATCATACATCTAATTAAAATGTAAACATACATTTTCGTTCATGAAACCCGTATTTAAGTTTTATGTAATGTAAGGGAGTTAAGCTAGGCAGTGATGTCGTGGGAAACTTACGTTTTCCGACATAGTTATGGTTCTTCGTTTTTTTTTTTTTTTTTTTTTTTTTTAAATGTGACGTTTGAGTCTGTTTGCCAGTGTCATTAAAAACTTTAATTCATCCGTCTAATTTTTTTAGGAAAGAACTGCATAATTTACGTCCTTAAAGAGGAGAGTTAGTGTAAGGCTGGTTACCCTGTTTTTTAAAGAAAAAACACTTAACTACCGAAACTACAACGATACTTCGTGCATCTACGGGTGTTGAGTGATTTTTGTGACCATTGGCACTCGACTAACTACACCAGGGGTCTCCAAACTTTTTAGTCCGAGGGCCACATTAACTATCAAATTTTAGTTCGGGGGCCAGTTTCTTCCAGGCATGTCGTGACTTTCTGAGCAAGTTCCTCAGCCAACTTCAACAAACGTTTTTTTCCGTGGACAAAAAGATCTCCGCGGGCCGGATGAGAGGAGCTCGCGGGCCGCATCCAGCCCGCGGGCCGTAGTTTGGAGACCCCTGAACTACACCATGACAAACCTAACCCTATATCCAATGGTTCACAGAATACTGCGCAAACAGAAAAATGCGCAAAAAATAAACTATTGATACAGATACATTTTATGTGTGCAATATTTGCGGGGAAATAAAATGATGTTATAGTCATTCTTTGCTGACGTCTATAAATGCTCGATGAAAAAATAATAATTTTTGTGTGCTGTTTTCCGTTGCTGTCTCCCTATGTGATGTCATTTAAAGATAGCCGCCTATCCTATCGACCATATCCCCATATTATTTATCACATTATCACATTTTCACCCCATATTTTCATCACATTTCCCATATCCCGTATTTTTAATCGCAAGTAGCTTTTATTTCAGCGTTAACTAAAAAACACGAGTGGATCATTTCACATTGTACTGTACCTCCGTTAAACATAGCGAGCAAATCTTACTATCTCTCTATCTGTCAGGTTTACCCAGAGGCGTAGCGACCCTTCCCGGCGCCCGGGGCGAACTTTCAATTTGGCGCCCCCCCCCCGCCGCTTATATATATATATATATATATATATATATATATATATATATATATATGTGTGTGTGTGTGTGTGTGTGTGTGTGTATAATTATGTGTGTGTGATAGTGTGTTTATATATAAGCTTGTGTGTGGGTAAGAGTGTATTTGTGTGTGTAAGCGTGTGTGTAAGCGTGTATGCTACAGTCCGGACAAGGTTTAATAATTACATTGTATGATTTTCATTCCTTAAAACTTTACGAAAATTTAATTCCCATTAAGATGCGTTTAACTTTTTTTGCGAAAGATTAGTAATGTTAGTAAAAAAAAATCAGCCTGATCTGTGTTAGAGGGTAGTTTGTAGCTAACGCTAATATGTTTAGACATATGTTCTAGTTTTGAACGATCTCTGTTGTGATATGGTACATATTGGATTCGAAGTTTGTTAGAGTAAGGACACACAAGTGACATACAAGAAGAAGTTATCAGAAATATTTATTGTTCACATTGGAATACGACATGGGTATTTCGTTGATTGGTTGATGGTATGACAAAACAAGCTAGAGAAAACAAACTGGAATCCAACGGATGTTAACAGCTCGTAGTCTTGGATTTCGCAGATTTGCCCTGCCTTCTCGCACACAGTTTCTTCCAGGCATCTTTTCGGGGGGACGAAGCCCCCCGGAAAATTTTTTTACGCCCCCCCCCCCGAACGAGATGAAATTTATATAATTTATATATAGAAAATATATACTTTTAACAGTGTCCGCCCCCCCCCCCCCCGAAGAAAGTTTACCGCCTCCCCCCTCCCCCCGAAGATTTCAAGTGCCCCCCCGGAGAAAAAAGTCTGGAAGAAACACTGATCAAAAGTATCTGATCTCTCACGTTGAAGTTGAGAGAATCGTAAGAATCTTACAAAGAACTAGTCGCGTCTTTTTTTTAACAAAACTGGCTATTGAAATTGTACATTACGCGTTAATACACTTGGTTTCTTTACTAAGTGTTAAGAGAGTTATCTACTCACCAATCCAGTACAAATACTTGCGATTTTTGTTAGCGAAAAAAGCGCCCCCCCCCCACCCCCCCACACACTCATCACAACCATCTTGGACAAAGTTTGTAGAGCGGTTTTTAACGTAACTAACTTTTTTTTTAAAAATGTTACACAATTATACAATGCACAGTACAATTCGTTTCTTTCTGAGAGCTAAAGGTTGTTTACTCAGAATCCTGTGTAATTTTGCTATTTTATTTAGCCTAAAAGCGCCCCCCTGCACCATCTTGATAAAAGTCACTAACGTATTTTACAGTTCAACAATCGTACAATACGTTTTAATACAATTGGTTTCTTTTAATAGTGGTAACGTTTATCGACTCAACAATCTAGTGTAAATTCTTCCGTTTTAAGTCTCGAAAAAGCGCCCCCCCCCCCCCCCCCCATCTAGGAAAAGCTTCAAAGCGGTTTTGCCGGTCACTGTTTCTTAAGAGTATATGTTTTACATTAAGAAATCAAGATAGAAAACAGTTAAATCAGTATGTAAATGCGTGTAGCCATTATATTTCTTAACTTAGACTTAGACAGTTTATAATTCAAAACTGCAGCATAAAATCAGCTTTAAAAATTTTTTCCCACCCCTTTTGGCGCCCCCATAGGGTCGGCGCCCGGGGCGGCCGCCCCCCCCGCCCCCCCCCCTAGCTACGCCTCTGGGTTTACCCACTACGGGATTAAACAAAGTTTAATTTTTAAAGTTTGTATGTTAATAATAGTTTATGGAAAAATAATAGCAAAGCAACTATTACCCCCCCCCCCCCTCCACCACTTTCTTAAACTTTTTACGACTTACCGAACAGATGATGTTTACAGATAAAGAGACAATTCGTTAGCTTTGGTAACTTTATTTATCAGTTTTGTTGTTATTTGTTTGTTACACAAATAAAGTTTTTTCTACATTTGAATCAACGCATACTAAAACATATTAAGATCTGAAAAAAGTACACATTTAAATGTTCAAAATAATAATTGCATGTAGATCTGAAATTTTAATGTTGAAATTTGAGAAAAAAAAAATGAAAATTGTATGTAGTAATTTTTAAATTAATATTACTAATAATTATTAATATTACTAATAAATCAAAATAAAACAATTACTGAACTTAGCCTTACGTGAATTCTATGCTTAACCCAAACGTGATTTTAAGTTAAGCCAAAAGTGAACTAAATTTAAACTAAAAGTGACTTTAATTTAAGCCAAAAGTGATTAAAATTTAACCCAAACGTGATTCAAATTTAAGACAAAGTGATTCAGATTAAGGCCAAACATAGCTCAAACTTAAGGCCAAGCATAGCTCAAACTTCAGGCCAAACATAGCTCAAACTTCAGGCCAAACATAGCTCAAACTTAAGCCAAATGTGACTCGCATGTTGAAGTTGAAACTATAAATATCTGGTCACTCGCAGACTTGTTGCAGTTGGTCGTGTGCAGCCAGCACTCATTGTCGTAGGTGTTACCGTCACTTCCACACACTGGACGATAACCCAACGGACACGGCAGATTCCCAGAACACCTGGCGTTCGGTGTCTTTACCGGGCACTCTCCAAGGTGTGCCATGGTGACCATCTTGTCAGCTGGCCGTCCGCAGTTGAAAGCATCGAGTCGACAGGTGTTGGGGTAGGTCTTACCGTCACTTCCACACACGGGATCGTAGACTTGTAAACAGACAATCTTCATACATGGGTCGGTCGGTCTTTTTGGCTGAATCTCCTTGCACGGCCCGTCGTGGGAAATGGTGACTTCTTTTACGTCCGAGTTCTTGCAGTTGGAGGCATGGAGCTGGCACTTGTTGGGGTATGTCTTGCCGTCGCTGCCACACACGGGCTGATAGACTTCTAGACAGACAGTCTGAGGACACGGGTCGCTGGGTTTGGTTGACTCAACGCACGGTCCGTCGTGGGAAACGGTGACTTCTTTGGCCTCCGCGTTCTGGCAGGAGGTGCTGCGTAACACGCAGTCGTTGGGGTACGTGCGGCCGTCAGTGCCGCAGACAGGCCTGTAGTCTGCTACACAGCTGCTGGGGCACATCTTCTCCTGCATGGGGACCGCTGGATAAGACCGTCACGTGAATTAGGCATTGGAATTATTAGTTTAATTACTTAAAAAAACAAGCTGCTTTAAAACTGATTGCTCTCGAATTTGCACTTGTGACTTTGAATAAAACATAAGTAGGATAAAACAAAACTAGGATAAACATGAGTAGGATAAAACAAAACAATAGAAATGAAAATTAGAGGGACCGAATGATTCTTCTATACTAAAAGTATGCTCAAGAGCTTAATGGTCGTCATAATTAACAACCGTTAATTAAACTTATAATTGCCTAGCTTATTTTTTTTTATTCATACCTGTTGCGCCTCTCCATGACAATTCGATCAACAGGAGAAACATCAGGCTCACTTGGGCTTTCTGTAGAGGTAAAATTGCATTGTCGTGGTGGGTGCTAAACTAAAACCAAGTAAAAATGTAATGTCGTGGTGGGTGCTAAACTAAACCCAAGTAAAATTGTATTGTCGTGGTGGGTGCTAAACTAAACCAAGTAAAATTGCATTGTCGTGGTGGGTGCTAAACTAAACCCAAGTAAAATTGTATTGTCGTGGTGGGTGCTAAACTAAACCAAGTAAAATTGCATTGTCGTGGTGGGTGCTAAACTAAACCCAAGTAAAATTGTAATGTTGTGGTGGGTGCTAAACTAAACCAAGTAAAATTGTAATGTCGTGGTGGGTGCTAAACTAAACCAAGTAAAATTATAATGTAGTGGTGGGTGCTAAACTAAACTCAGGTAACATTTTTTTCAAGATCTTTATAATCCCGTAATGGGCCGGAGTGGCCTAGCTGTAGAACGTTAGATTACTAACCCGATTACTAACCCGAAAGTCTTGAGTTCGAATCCTGGTTTAAGTCAGCAGAACGTGCCTGAGTCCACCCAGCTTTGCTATGTACCTAACTAATGCTAGGGAGAGTAGAGATGGCTGGTGACCACACTATACCTTCAAATGCCGAGGTCTGAGAAATAGTTGAACTCTTCTTCACCTGCCCTATGGACCGTTAGATTCTAAAAGGAAACTTTACTTTTTACCTTTTTAAGCTCCAGTACGAATGTATTATTTAACAAAATTGAAAGTTAGAGTTTAAAGTAACATTTGGTGTTTTCTATGTATGAAAATCGTTTACATTTTTATAATCGTTTTTTTATAGTTCTCAACGTCTGTTTGCTTGTTTGTTTATTTGTGGCAACTCATGTTATTCAATATTGACCCATATCTAATGTAGCAATTTCGTTCAAACGTTCCGGATACGTTTCGCTTCGACGACAATACAAGTCTATCTATTTATTAATTTAATTAGATGTTTCGTTAGTAATTAAAAATTAATTAACTTTTTTTAAAAACTAAGTGGAGATAACAAAATTAAATAACTCGATAGATTACTATTTTCAATAACTGACGAGGAGATAACTAGCTGGACCAAACTACTCAGGTGAGCTGTGGTTCATGCGAATGTTTACAATCGTAAAGCCGGGTCGAATTAGTGAAGGCTGTTAGGGGCAGATAATACAGTTTTTTTTAACGATTTGAAACAAATGGGAGGTAACAAAATAAAGACCTTGCTGTCGTCTGTAAACTAATAAATATGTTGACGGACGGCTGCTTTCACGGACAGATAATCGTCTTTTAAATATTGCGAGGTATTGATTGTGTTTTAAAGCAAATATTTGTAGTCTTGTCGACTTCATACGTTAGAAATTAATAAAAAGTAGAAAACAAAACAAATATAAAAACCTTTAAAGTAACAAGTTTTTAAATGCACTGAAAATAAGAAAATAAAACTGAATAGCTTCTGTTATATATAAAGCATTGGGACACTCATGAGATCTTTTATATGTTTCAACTTTATATATAAAAAAAATGTTTCAGCGACAAAATCTTTTATCAAAGAAAGAAAATTAGTTAAAGTTAAATTTTCTTATTTGCATTTGAAAGCTTTTACAATAAAGGTTTTTTAATTATTTTTTAAAATATTTATAAGTATTTGAACTTACATTCATTTTACTGAAGAGGCCGCTGTTCTTTACTAAAGTTTGAATGCTGTGTGCGGTAATCAAACAAACTTGATGGACGCTTAATACAAGTGGATGCCGCAGGAAACCTACAAGCCAATCACAACCTTCTTGAGTTAATCACACACCGAGTTCTATCGTAATATTAGGTGTTAACGTTACATGCAAGATAATGGGGTGTAGTGTTGTGTTGTTATTCTCTAAGTTAATTATACTTCATGTAGGCTTTTATTATAATATGTGTTAGATATAGATATGGATTTAAATTAAGGCCATTGTAAAAAAAATAAGGAAAGGGTATTGGTGTAAGAGGGTTGTCGAGAGAGATGATTAGAGAGACGAAGAGAGAGATCTACGCAGACAGAGACAGATGATTAGAGAGACAAGAGAGATACAGTTTAGATAAAAAGTGATACAGTGATGTTGAGAGAAAAAGATAAGACCTACACAGAGAGAGATAGAGGGGTTGAGAAAGGAAAGGAATGGCATTCCGTTTGTGTGAGAGATTTATAGAGCGAGAGAGAGAGAGAGACAAATAGAGAAAAAACTAAGTCCTGACAGTGACATTGAAGTTGTCACAGAAAATGTTTGACTGTTAATGATACGGATAAATGCAGATATTACATCAGTGATTGATCTGTTTATGTCATAACGATTACATTTTGGGAAACTGGTGTTAAAATGTAACACATTACAAGAGTTAAGACTCAGAGATTAATAGTGCGCTCACCAGCCTAGCCCCTCCCCACAACCTAAAGCCACAATGATTCTAAATTTACAATGTCTTTTAAAAAAATAATATAAAAATTTCAGCACGCATCTTCATAGTTTGAATAACCCAGCATTTATTTTCCATTTTCCAGGTTTGCTAAATCTACAACGATATGGTATTTGAATTTTAAATCTGGTACTTTCTCAGTAGTTGTATGTACATTTTATTAGCTCTATTAAAAGCTTACACACAAATATATTTCTGAAAAGATATAAGCTAATTCTAATGTTCATAAAAATAGTTTTCTGGATGCTTACTGCGTAATGTCACAGAGCTAAATTTAGTAAAATGTAAGCTTTGTGAGAATATTGAGATTGGAAATGGAAAATCGTATTCCCACGGGAAACAAGGAGATTCTCGTATATTTTAAATTACATGTAATTCAGCCACAGGTAGGTAATCATATGTTGTTATAGAAAAGCACAGGTGGGTTTGAATTCAAACGATATAAAGCAGGTAAGTATTAATTATGAATAGATGATAGCTAATTACCTGAATAATAATTGACAATATAATTGCAGGTGGTGATAAAATGTATGCTTCGTTACCTGGTCTTACCTGTAAAATAAGTTCCAGGATGATTCAACTTTCATACGCTTTCTAGACGGCGTGGTCTAGAGGTACAGCGCTAGACTACTTTACTGGCCCTATGCAGTGGCGTAGGCGGGGGGGGGGGGGTAAGGGGGGGTTCATAACCCCCCATAGACCCCTCGGTATATATATATAAAGTATGAGGGGGGTGCCAATCGAAAGTTTGAGGGGGGGGGGTGCAAATCGAAAGTTTGAGGGGGGGTGCAAATCGAAAGTTTGAGGGGGGGGGGTGCAAATCGAAAGTTTGAGAGGGGGTGCAAATCGAAAGTTTGAGAGGGGGTGCAAATTGAAAGTTTGTCCCCGGGTAAAAATTGGACCCCCCCCCTTGAGACGATCCTGGCTACGCCACTGGCCCTATGGACCGTATGGATCGAAAAGGGAACTTTACTTTCTACATGCCCCCCCCCCCAATAGAAAAGTGAAACATTTAGGTTTTGAGAATTAAAAAAATTTAAAGCACAATAGTTGTGATGGATTGGTAACAGGTGAACCACGAACTTGATTATAGGTTTGTATAAAAATAGTAAAAATAAATTAGTACATTTTAAAAATCTGGGTTGATTTAGTTAAAATCAATATGGTTATAAAAACATGAATGTTTGATTTTTGACCGACTTACTTGAAATTTGATGTTTAAGTATTTTTAGTAAATAAACACAATTTAAATAAAGCGGGAGTGGTCTCCCCTAAACTTTCTCGATGTTACTTATATAAGTCTACGGGGATGGCAACTCGGTATAAAAACATGGATTTTAATAAATGTTTAATTATATAAACTTTTAAAATATAATATAATCTCGTAGAAAATAAGAATTTCGCACCAAGTGAACAGCCTAAAGTACTACTTCCGGTCAACGGAAATTTCTCAAAATGTTACAGAAGGCAGAAATAGATTTTATATTTATATGTTAAATTTCGTTTAAACAGTTCTCAAGTTGTATGAAAAACTAAACGAAGACTAAGTTCTTCTTCCGGTTACCGGAAATCGCTGAAATGTTGGTACAGGACTACAAATTTAATATAATACTTATGTATGAAATTTCATGAACCCAACTGTAACGATACTCAAGTTATCGTGTTCACAGATATACACACACACGCACGAAAACACACACACACACACACTGACACACACACTGACACACACACACGGACAAAATTGCAAAACTAAGTATTTTGCGAGATTTGTAAAAATTTGGATTTCAATTTTTGCAATATTACAATAGTTCCTTTATACTGAGTATACGAGAAATACAAAAAAACAATTTGTTTGTCGTACGAAAGTGAAATTCAAGTTATACATTAGGCTAGTTAAAAATAAAAAAATAAACGGAAATGTAGTCTTAATATTTAAAAATTATTTTCAAGCTCTTTGAATTGGCAGCTTCTAAAATAAAGATTCGAAAAATTATAAATTTTCATTTTTTTTTCGACTTTTTTTTTTCTACATTTTTTTACGGCCGCTTAGTTTGCAATATCTTGAAAACACGGGTTTTTTTTTAATCTGTCAAAAACATGATCGATCCCAACTCGTCAAACTCGACCGTCTACAAAAGTTTGGAAACTTCAGAACTTTGATTTAGATTACGTCCTTGATTTTTTAAGGGAACCCAATGCTTAGACAGATTTGTAAACCACAGCTACAATGTTCGACCATATGTAAGGCGTTGGACAGTTAAATTCTGGAAGGACATAAAAGCAATATCTACTTTGTTTCATTTTGTAGGGGGGGGGGGCGTAATTTTAGGATCATATAGAGGTTTAAGATCAAAGGTAGGAGAAAGGTCGTACTCTGGCAAGGGTTTTAGCAAAAGTCATGTTATCAGTGTTTCTTCCAGACTTTTTTCTCCGGGGGGGGGGCACTTGAAATTTTCGGGTGGGGGGGGGGGGCGGTAGACTTTCTTTGGGGGGGGGGGGCGGACAGTGTTAAAAGTATATATTTTCTATATGAATTATATAAATTTCATTTCGTTCGGGGGGGGGGGGTGGTAAAATTTTTTCGAGGGGTGGGCTTTTCCCCCTCGAAGAGATGCCTGGAAGAAACTCTGCATGTTATACATTTACAAGGTAAAGAGTAACGACACATGGGAAATGTGTGTGTGTGTGGGGGGGGGGGGTGAAGTTGAAGGTGACAGGCAAGTTTTGAGTGAATGGTGTACCTGGTTGTTGGTTGTGTGGTTGCGTGATGTAGTTGCGGGGTGTGGTTGTGTAGCGTGGTGTGGATGTGTACAAGCGCTCTTCCACAGACGTTCTGCTATTAAATGAACGGGTCACGGGATGAAACATAAAAGATTCCGACACAAACAAAACGAAATTAAGTTTATTAGTTTGTATAAAATGTATACATTATTTGTATTCAAATTTTACATCCCCAAACAGTAGTAAAACTCATGATTCGTCCACTTTAAAAACATAAATAGCATACGACATAGGTTTATAAAATGAAATAATTGTTTCTATCATTGTTGTTTCCATTAACTTTCTTGAGACAAATGCTTTGATTTTTGTTGATTTCGTTTTGTTGTGCTAAGAAAAACATCAATTTAAAATTAAAGAAACGGAAAAAGAAAATAATAAGAAATCAATAATAACTGAATTGTAAAATATTTTGTTGTTGAATTTTTGTTTTTATTTTATATACAATATTATATGCTTTGACTTCTGTTTGTAACAGGTTTATTAGAGAAATTAATTTATACGACTAATGTTAGGATTATTATAAGAATTAAATAAATGTTTCCCTTCTTCTCTATAACCCACCCACACACAAAAATTACCATGTAGTGCATTTTGAACATTGGTATAGTTATAATTATGTTTTACATGTGTTTAATTAAAGATGATTTTCCGGAAGTCATTGTGTAAAAACAAATTTAAGAAGATAAATGAATTAGCAACGAGCATTTAAATGCACTGAAAATTTAAAAATAAAACTAGTTTGCTTTCTTCCATAAAAGTTTTTGTCGCTAACATATGTAAAAGATCTCATGGCTAATTAAACATCTAATTAAATTAAAAATAGATAAACTTGTATTGTCATCGAAATGGAACGCATCTGAAAAGTTTAAACGAAATCCGTGCATTAAAATTGTGGTCAAAATTAAGTTACAAGATTTGCCACAAAACAAACAAACAAACAACAAACACACAACCAAACAAACAAACAACCAAACATACAAACAAACAAACAATCAAACAAACAAACAATCAAACAAACAAACAAACAAACAAGCAAACGAACGAAGGAACAAACAAGCAAACAAACAAACACAAACAAACAAGTAAACAAACAAACTAACCAAACAGATGCTGCGAAGTAAATAAAAGCATGTAAAAACAAGAAATTACTTAACAAAATATGCAGTTTTTAAACATGTTATGAAGAAATCTCTGTGAAATCTCACCTCATCTAAACGTTGAGTAGCCAGAGCGCCAAGCTGAACGTCAGTATATGACGTGAGCAGAGGTTGACATCTTTGCTGAAAGGAGTTAGCCAGCGCACTGCGATGTTGGAATCGTGTTATAGGAATAAACAACTTTTTAAAAAACTACATTTTATAGGAATAAACAACTTTTTAAAAAACTACATTTTATAGGAATAAACAACTTTTTAAAAAACTACATTTTATAGGAATAAACAACTTTTTAAAAAACTACATTTTATAGGAATAAACAACTTTTTAAAAAACTACATTTTATAGGAATAAACAACTTTTTAAAAAACTACATTTTATAGGAATAAACAACTTTTTAAAAAACTACATTTTATAGGAATAAACAACTTTTTAAAAAACTACATTTTATAGGAATAAACAACTTTTTAAAAAACTACATTTTATAGGAATAAACAACTTTTTAAAAAACTACATTTTATAGGAATAAACAACTTTTTAAAAAACTACATTTTATAGGAATAAACAACTTTTTAAAAAACTACATTTTATAGGAATAAACAACTTTTTAAAAAACTACATTTTATAGGAATAAACAACTTTTTAAAAAACTACATTTTATAGGAATAAACAACTTTTTAAAAAACTACATTTTATAGGAATAAACAACTTTTTAAAAAACTACATTTTATAGGAATAAACAACTTTTTAGAAAACTACATTTTTACTGGACAAACATATTCTTAGTGCTAGCCTTCACTGAAACAGGCCAGCTCTACTTCATCTGCTACACTATTAGCCATGTAAAATAGGTTAACAATAATTCGTTATTTTATTTCAGTTTAATTGAAGTTTAACTTTCATAACATTTTTATTCGAGCATTTTTTAAAGTTTTAATAAGTCTTTTTATACCAAAGTAAAAGTTTTAATATCGGTTTTTATATAGACATCTGATATAATGTTTTTTTAACTGCGAATATTTTCAAATCAATTAGAAATTGCATAAAAGTTTGTTTTATATTCTGTTTTTGACAAATTTAAATATCAGGGTTCTATGGCCTGCGAATATGTTTCTTTGTCAATAGCATTTAAACATTCTTTTTAATGTTTTATTTTATTTGTTTTATTTGCAATAAATAGCTTTCATGTTGAAATTATTAGCAATTAACAGTTCTTAAACTATGTTCATGCACTTTTAAGTTATGAATTTTATAAATATATCTACATTTTTTTCAATTAAATATTATTTAAAAATCCTAGCCTAGTAATAATTTATAGAATGACTAATAGAAAGCAATAATTACTCCGGTGTTAAATAAAACTTAAAAAAAATGCTTTTAAATAATAAGCTGGTACCTGCATTATTACGTGTAGTTAGCGTACGAGCTTTCTTGCACAGTCCATAATGCTTGTTATTGCACGAATCGATGTACCAGCTATCTGATTACAGATAGAATATTATATAGATTGTTACAATATATCAGATAGAATATTATATAGATTATTACAATATATCAGATAGAATATTATATATATATATTGTTACAATATATCAGATAGAATATTATATATATTGTTACAATATATCAGATAGAATATTATATAAATTGTTACAATATATCAGATAGAATAGAGAGATTTAAAACTACTATAGGACGACGTGGTCTAGAGGACCAGGAACATTTTGAGTTAGAAACCCTGGCTCGCGAGCATAGATCTTCTCATGGGCAATTTTGTGAAGCACTGGAGGAAGCTAAACTCTGGCGGCTTCCTTTGTAGTCAGCGGATTATAACATGGGTGAGATGAAAAGTTATCGTATGTGGTCTAGACTTATTACAAGGATGAGATGAAAAGTTATCGTATGTGGTCTAGGCTTATTAAAAGGATGAAAAGTCATCGTATGTGGTCTAGGCTTATAACATGGGTGGGATGAAAAGTTATCGTATGTGGTCTAGGCTTATAACATGGGTGGGATGAAAAGTTATCGTATGTGGTCTAGGCTTATAACATGGGTGGGATGAAAAGTTATCGTATGTGGTCTAGGCTTATTAAAAGGATGAAAAGTCATCGTATGTGGTCTAGGCTTATAACATGGGTGGGATGAAAAGTTATCGTATGTGGTCTAGGCTTATAACATGGGTGGGATGAAAAGTTATCGTATGTGGCCTAGGCTTATAACATGGGTGGGATGAAAAGTTATCGTATGTGGTCTAGGTTTATAACATGGTTGGGATGAAAAGTTATCGTATGTGGCCTAGGCTTATAACATGGGTGGGATGAAAAGTTATCGTATGTGGTCTAGGCTTATAACATGGGTGGGATGAAAAGTTATCGTATGTGGTCTAGGCTTATAACATGGGTGAGATGAAAAGTCATCGTATGTGGTCGAGGCTTATAACATGGGTGGGATGAAAAGTTATCGTATGTGGTCTAGGCTTATAACATGGGTGAGATGAAAAGTTATCGTATGTGGTCTAGGCTTATAACATGGGTGGGATGAAAAGTTATCGTATGTGGTCTAGGCTTATAACATGGGTGGGATGAAAAGTTATCGTATGTGGCCTAGGCTTATAACATGGGTGGGATGAAAAGTTATCGTATGTGGTCTAGGCTTATAACATGAGTGGGATGAAAAGTTATCGTATGTGGTCTAGGCTTATAACATGGAAGGGATGAAAAGTCATCGTATGTGGTCGAGGCTTATAACATGGGTGGGATGAAAAGTCATCGTATGTGGTCTAGGCTTATAATATGGATGGGATGAAAAGTCATCGTATGTGGTCGAGGCTTATAACATGGGTGGGATGAAAAGTTATCGTATGTGGTCTAGGCTTATAACATGGTGAGATGAAAAGTTATCGTATGTGGTCTAGGCTTATAACATGAGTGGGATGAAAAGTTATCGTATGTGGTCTAGGCTTATAACATGGGAGGGATGAAAAGTCATCGTATGTGGTCGAGGCTTATAACATGGGTGGGATGAAAAGTCATCGTATGTGGTCTAGGCTTATAACATGGATGGGATGAAAAGTCATCGTATGTGGTCGAGGCTTATAACATGGGTGGGATGAAAAGTTATCGTATGTGGTCTAGGCTTATAACATGGGTGGGATGAAAAGTTATCGTATGTGGCCTAGGCTTATAACATGGGTGGGATGAAAAGTTATCGTATGTGGTCTAGGCTTATAACATGAGTGGGATGAAAAGTTATCGTATGTGGTCTAGGCTTATAACATGGGAGGGATGAAAAGTCATCGTATGTGGTCGAGGCTTATAACATGGGTGGGATGAAAAGTCATCGTATGTGGTCTAGGCTTATAACATGGATGGGATGAAAAGTCATCGTATGTGGTCGAGGCTTATAACATGGGTGGGATGAAAAGTTATCGTATGTGGTCTAGGCTTATAACATGGGTGGGATGAAAAGTTATCGTATGTGGCCTAGGCTTATAACATGGGTGGGATGAAAAGTTATCGTATGTGGTCGAGGCTTATAACATGGGTGGGATGAAAAGTTATCGTATGTGGTCTAGGCTTATAACATGGGTGGGGTGAAAAGTTATCGTATGTGGCCTAGGCTTATAACATGGGTGAGATGAAAAGTTATCGTATGTGGTCTAGGCTTATAACATGGTGAGATGAAAAGTTATCGTATGTGGCCTAGGCTTATAACATGGGTGGGATGAAAAGGTATCGTATGTGGTCTAGGCTTATAACATGGTGAGATGAAAAGTTATCGTATGTGGTCTAGGCTTATAACATGAGTGGGATGAAAAGTTATCGTATGTGGTCTAGGCTTATAACATGGGAGGGATGAAAAGTCATCGTATGTGGTCGAGGCTTATAACATGGGTGGGATGAAAAGTCATCGTATGTGGTCTAGGCTTATAACATGGATGGGATGAAAAGTCATCGTATGTGGTCGAGGCTTATAACATGGGTGGGATGAAAAGTTATCGTATGTGGTCTAGGCTTATAACATGGGTGGGATGAAAAGTTATCGTATGTGGCCTAGGCTTATAACATGGGTGGGATGAAAAGTTATCGTATGTGGTCTAGGCTTATAACATGAGTGGGATGAAAAGTTATCGTATGTGGTCTAGGCTTATAACATGGGAGGGATGAAAAGTCATCGTATGTGGTCGAGGCTTATAACATGGGTGGGATGAAAAGTCATCGTATGTGGTCTAGGCTTATAACATGGATGGGATGAAAAGTCATCGTATGTGGTCGAGGCTTATAACATGGGTGGGATGAAAAGTTATCGTATGTGGTCTAGGCTTATAACATGGGTGGGATGAAAAGTTATCGTATGTGGCCTAGGCTTATAACATGGGTGGGATGAAAAGTTATCGTATGTGGTCGAGGCTTATAACATGGGTGGGATGAAAAGTTATCGTATGTGGTCTAGGCTTATAACATGGGTGGGGTGAAAAGTTATCGTATGTGGCCTAGGCTTATAACATGGGTGAGATGAAAAGTTATCGTATGTGGTCTAGGCTTATAACATGGTGAGATGAAAAGTTATCGTATGTGGCCTAGGCTTATAACATGGGT